TCGCCGTCGGAGCTGGGGTAGAATGCACTTGCGAATCCCCTGGCTCCGGCATAGGCGCTCGTAGGTACACCGTGTGGTTTGTACACCGGTCGTGCCAGCCCCCCCCCAACCCTCGGGAAGCGAAGGGCCAGCCACTGCGGCGGCTAAATATCCGCCTATAGTGGCTGAGAGGTTGCCGAACTGGACCCGCCACTTTGCGAATCTGGCGAGAGTCCTGGGCGAGGCACCCAACGCCCGCCCCTTCAGCACGGGATTCCGATTTCTCCCTAAGTCGGATGCGGAATTCCGTGCTATACAAAAGTACCTGGTGGAGGCTAGCGAGAGGGATCCCACCATAAGCTGGTACTACTACAGTCTGGCCTCGGAGCTACCGACCAAGGTAGCCATAAGGGGCCTCCCAGCGGACACCCCAATCGACAGCATAGTGGAGGCCCTGAAGCACAGGGGGTTCGGCGTGCGTTTGGTGCGCGGCATTCCGGCGCGCCGCGGCCGCCCCGGATGCATATTCCACGCACAGCTGGACCCCATGGCGAAAGAGGAGCTCGCTCGGCTATATGCCGTCACAGAGCTCCTCTGCATGCGAGGTGTGGTCATCGAGGCGTGGAAGCCGGCATCGGTGCTCGCGCAATGCCACCGATGCCAGGCGTTCGGGCACGCCTCGACAAATTGCCACCGTCCACTCAAATGCGTCCGCTGCGCGGGTGACCACCTGGCAGCGGACTGCGACCGCCCGCGGGACCACAAACCGACCTGCGCCAACTGTGCCAAGCCGCACACAGCCAATGACCGCAAGTGTGCGGTCTACAAAAGAGAGGCCAGGCAGAGGGGTATCAAACCCCGCCCCCTCTCCCCCAGACGAATACAATTGTGCCTAGGGCGCAACAGCGGCGCGGCAAGCCCTCCGCGAAACCGCGCACATTTGTCGCCCAGGCCCCCCCTCCCGTTATTACGGTCGAGGAAGCCACAGACGCCAACCTAATGGCGCCGGCAAATGAACCGACACAACGCGGCGTCGGAGCCGGCACCAAGAAGCGTCGCCGCCGTAGGCGTGGTAAGAAGAGGACCGGGGATGCGCCAGTATTGGCATCGACGCCGGTCCCTTCCCACCGCATCCCGGAGGCGGACAAAGCGCCTTCCGCCCCACCCGCATCCACGGTACAAACAAGGGGCCCGCGAGCTGCGCCGCGCCGCCGCCAGGCGGCGCTACCGGCACAAACAGTGCCGACAGCAGCCGCCGTTTCGCAAGCGGTGGACGCGCGAAATGCGCCCCCTGCACACTCTGTGACGCGACCGGCACGTAGAGTGCTTGCGCCCGCGCCCAACACACAAGCGCCCGTCAACAGTGCATTAGATATGCTTATTAGCCTGTTGACGGAGCTGCTGCTCGCGCTCGCAGCCGGCGTGGACATAAAGTCGGCGGCGACAAAAGGATTGGCCAAAATAAACCAATACACGAATGGCCAGTAGCGAGCTACGCATCGTGTATTGGAACCCCGGGGGAGTGAGAGACAAGATCCAGGACCTCCGTCTCCTAGCTCACACCCAGGACGTACACATTATACTCCTGGGTGAAACGAAGCTGACAGAAAAGGAGACGTTGAGGGTGCCTAATTATCACGTGTACAGACGCGACGAAAGGTCACCGGCGGGCAAAGGGTACCGCGGCACAGCGGTACTAGTCCGCCGCGACGTAGTACACGTGGAATTAGAGCGCCCCGAGTTCCGCGTCATGCGCACCATAGGCGTGCGCATCAATGTCGACGGCGCGGAACTGAAGGTCCTGGCAGCGTATCGCCCCCCGGTGCCTGAATTTTGCCCCTCCGATATCCGGAACGTACTGGATGGGAGGAGCCCTACCCTGCTAATGGGCGACCTCAACGCGAAACACACGGCTTGGGGTTCCCGTCTTGTTTCGCGGGTAGGTCGAAGGCTCCTCCAGGATTCCCAAATCCACGGGTACGAGGTGTTGGGCCCTGCACACCCCACCCACGTACCCACGAACCCGAGACACAACCCAGACGTTCTGGATATAGCCCTGGTACAGGCTGTGCCCTGCCCGGTGACATTGGAGGTGCTGTACGACCTCGATACGCAGCACCTCCCTGTCCTAGCCACGCTTGACCTCTCCACCACCACCACATCGACGAGACCGTCGAGGCGGCGGATGGATTGGCGCGTTTTTCGCGCAGAACTGGAGCACTTGCACCTCGACGGCGACCTATCAACGCCCGAGGACATAGAGGCCGCCTCCGTCTTCATGACGGAGCGAATTCGCTCCGCCACTGAGGCGGCCACTACCACCGTAAACGTGGCTTCTCGCCGTCGAGAGGAGCTGCCATACCATCTGCGCGAAAAACTGGCGCGAAAGAGAGATCTCCGCCGCCTATGGGCTCGCACCCGCTGCCCGCGGGTCAAGCGTGAGCTCAACTGCCTGGCTGCGGAGCTGTCGGAAGGGATGCGGGACTGGCGTGGCTCCTCCTGGGAGGCCGTCATCTCCCGGGCGGACGAACACGCCACCACCCTGCACGCACTCAACCAACAGCTCACAAACGCACGACCCCCCCCGTCTGCCCGTTGCTAGACGAGACGGGCAGACGTTGTTACGCAGCTCAGGACCGGGCAGAAATCCTGGCACAGCACCTGGAGGGGCAATTTACGGCCAATCCCGTCGCCGCCGACGCACCACGCACTGTCGTCGAGCACCACGAGCGAGTCGTACGTCGCGTATGCGAGTTCCGTACCGCTCCGTCGCCGGACGTAAACGAGGTGAGCTTCGTTTCGCCCGGCGAGGTAAGGCGGCTCGTCAGCCGCCTGCCGAAGCGCAAAGCGCCCGGAGCGGACGGGATCAGCACCGCAGCGCTCGCACAGCTGCCCCGTAGAGCCCTAGTATGTCTAGTGAGGCTCTACAACGGCATACTCCGGACCGGCCACTTCCCCAACAGCTGGAAGTTGGGTAGAGTCATAGTCCTCCCGAAAGCCGGCAAGGACAAACGTCTGCCGGCAAGCTACCGGCCCATCTCTGCTCTCGCACGTAGCAAAGTCGTTCGAGCGCCTTCTGCTCCGCCGCTTGAAACCGACCCTGTCGCCTCGCGACGAACAGTTCGGTTTCAGAGGCGGACACTCGACGACTTTGCAGCTGACGCGCGTGCTCCACCACATGGCTGTCGAGCACAACCGCGGCCACTACACGGTCGGCGTATTTCTCGATATAGAGAAGGCGTTCGACCGTGTGTGGCACGACGGTTTGGTGTCGAAATTGCTCGACACCAACACGCCGTCAGCATACGTGCGAGTAGTGGACGCTTTCCTCTCGGGCCGGAGCTTTTACGTTTCGGTCGAGAACTGTGACTCTACCACACGCCCAATCGCCGCCGGAGTCCCGCAGGGCAGCTGCATCTCGCCAGCACTCTACGCGACGTACACAGACGACCAGTCTCGTGTGCCCCGCTCCAGGGGAAACCCTGGAGCAGTTTGTGGAGGCGCAAGCCTCCATAGTACCCGCCCGACTTAGGTCGGGCGTGACGTCCTTGCGGCCGGGTTGAGGAAATTGGCTGGTGGTAGCAGCCCCTTCCTTTTCCCGTCCCCCACTGGGGGGGACGAGGAGAGCTTGTCTCTGCCGCGGGACTTAGCGTTTTGGTCCATGTCGGACTCTATCACGCTGGCGGATGCCGACACGGTGCGGTCGGCGAGGTCGCGGCCCGTCTCGCGGGCCAGGTCGCGGGCGTCTCGGCCTTCCTCAGCGTCGTCGACGCGCTCTACGCGCTCGATGCTGGTGGAGGACGAGATGTCCGGATGTTTAGTGTCGAGCGAAGACGGGCTCGCAAAAACGGCCGTGTCGAAGCGGCCGCACGCGGATGGACCGGGCCCTTCCGGGGCGGCGGGCGGGAGTGCCAAGCCGTCGAAGATCCCCTGCCCGTCGGCCGGAAACGGGGTCACCTTATTGGTGCCCCTGGGCCGTAATACGGAGAGTCCGGCAACGTCGCCGAAATCCCGGCGGCAAGAGAAACGGGGGGACGACGAGATGTTCGTCCGACCCTCGGAGGTCCCTGTGGGGAAGGGGAAGGTCCCCCCAAAAGATGACATGCAGCCTGTGGCCGTCTTCAGGGCGGAGGCCCAGAAAAAGCTGGTGGCTGCCCTGGAGACGGTGCGCAGGTGCGGAAACCTTAAGGGGACCGACCATAAGCTGCTGAGGGACAACATCGGCGCTGTGATGCGATTGGCGGAGGGCTTGGATGTTAATGCCCCCGCCAACAACGACGTCACCGCGATGGCTGTGGAGCGCCGGGATATGGAGAAGCGAATTGGGGAGCTCCATAAAGAAAATAAGGAGCTCCGTCGCCAGATCCAGGCGCTCCAAACACAAATGCAGCAGCTCGCGGCGAGGACACCACAGACTCCCTCAGCTGCTTCCCAGGCACCACAGGGGCCTGCGAGGGTGAGGGCACCTGGCCCGGCCCCGGCGTCAGTGATAGACACCGAGGAACTGCGGGCGGAACTTCTGCGCTCGACCGGGTTTATGGTCGACGCCCGTTTCCAGGAGCTGAAGGAAATGATCCAAAAGGTTCATTCCCTTCAGGAGGCGTCGATCCGCCCGGTACACCGCCCGCCGCTGCAGAGCGATGGGCAGTATGAGGTTCTGTCCCGCATCCCTGGCGCAGGGGGACCGGGCTTCAGGGACGCCCCCCATTTGCGCGGGGCGCGAGGTGCTGAATTCCCGCCGCTTCCAGCGGCTCAACCGACCAGCCGGCCGACCTCCGGTAGTCAACAGCCGGGCGCGGGGCGCGCAAACGATGGCTGGAGCACGGTGGTGAGACGGGTAAAAATCGCAACGTCCCTGAGAGGCAGACCCAGAGTACTCAAGGTACTCAGAGGAGCTCTGGGGCCCCCTCTCAGGGGAAGAAGGGCAAACCGGCCCCGCCCTCACCATCAAAATTGCGCGCACCGCGCTCGGCGGCTGTAGTTGTCTCCCTTTGTCCGGAGGCGGAAGCGGCGGGAATGACCTATTCAAAGGTCCTCAAGGAGGCGAAGGACAAGATTGACCTCGCCTCCTTGGGCATAAACAGTCTGCGGTTTAAGACCGCGGCCACTGGGGCCCGGATCCTAGAGATCCCAGGGTCCCAGACGGGAGAGACCAGGCCGACGCGCTCGCGTCGAAGTTCCGGGACGTCTTCCCGGAAGGTACAGTCCGAATCGCCAGGCCCACAAAGACGGCCGAAATGAGGGTCATGGGCTTGGATGACGGTACCGACCGGGAGGAGGTGGCGGCCGCCGTGGCACAGCACGGCGAGTGCACGGCGGACGCCGTCAATGTCGGGGAGATTCGGCGCGGCGCGTCGGGCCTGGGCACCTGCTGGGTGCGGGCCCCATTGGCCGCGGTGAAGGTCACGACGGCAGGGCGGATCCGGATCGGCTGGGTCTCGGCTGCTGTGGAGCTGCTGCGGCAGAAGCCACTCCGGTGCTTCCGGTGCCTCGAAAGTGGGCACGTGCTGGCCAGGTGCTCGCACGAGGAGGACCGGAGTGGCTTGTGCTACCGGTGTGGGGTTCCCGGCCACAAAGCGGCCGGATGTTCGGCGGCCCCACACTGCGTGGTTTGCGCAGCGGCAGGTCGCCCAGCTGACCACCGGGTGGGGGCCAAAAAGTGCCCCCAGTCCCGCAACAAAAAGAAGGGATACGCACTGTCGTCGGCCCGCGGCAATGGCCGCCGGGGAGAGGCTGAGGTGATGGACACCGGTTAATAATGGCAGTCCATCGCCTCCTGCAGGGGAATCTGAACCACTGCGCGCGCGCCCAGGATCTGCTTCTGCAGAGCGCGGTGCAGTGGGGAGTTGACCTTGCAGTGGTCGCCGAACCATATCGCGTCCCACGAAGCGACCATTGGTTCGGCGACCCCTCTGGCCTGGTGGCCATTGTCGGCGCGGGCAACCCCGCGACCCCGCTCGTCAGCCGCCTATTCGGCGGAGCGGGGTACATAGGAGTGAGTTGGGGGAAAACCGTCGTTGTCGGGACATACTTCTCTCCGAACAGGACCCTCGCCGAGTTCGAGCAGTTCATGGACGGGCTGGGGGCCGCTCTGGAGCTATACTCGGCCCGTCCAATGATGGTGATGGGGGACTTCAATGCCAAATCCACGGCATGGGGCTCCCCCATCACCGACTCTCGAGGCAGGGTCCTGGAAGACTGGGCGGCCGCGGCCGGCCTGGTGGTGTTGAACCGAGGGTCGGCCGCCACGTGCGTGAGACAGCAGGGGGAGTCGCAAGTCGACGTATCCCTCTGCAGTCCAGCGATCGCACAGAGGGTGCGGAGCTGGCAGGTGTTGGATTAGGTGGAGACTCTATCAGATCATCGGTCTATACGCAGAGATGTTCTCCCCTCACCCGAAGCTCCGCACCCTGGTCGCCGGGAGAGCAATGTCCCACAACTCCCCAGATGGGTGTTGAAACGTCTAGATAAAGACGTGCTGATGGAGGCTTCCATCGTCCAGGCCTGGGTTCCAATACCGGAGGGGCCTGTGGAGGTCGACGTAGAGGTGGGCTGGTTCGGTGAGGCTCTGTCGCACATTTGCGACGCGGCGATGCCCCGAGCCGGCCCTCGACCTCCTAGGCGTCAGGTGTACTGGTGGTCGGAGGAGATAGCGGCGTTGAGGGAGGAGTGCTCCGCCGCCCGCCGCCGGTACACCAGGCACCGCCGACTCAGGCGGGGCCGCGACGCCGACGAGGAAGCACAGCTGTACGAGCAGTACAAAGAGAGGAAGAAAGCTCTGCAGCTGTCCATCAGCAGGGCCAAGGAGACAGCCAGGGAAGAACTCCTGGAGACCCTGGACAGGGATCCATGGGGGCGCCCTTATAGGTTCGTCAGGGGCAAATTACGCCCCTGGGCGCCCCCAGTGGCAGAGGGTCTCCAGCCGCAGCAGCTGGAGGGGGTGTTGGAGGAGCTGTTCCCGAGACAGCCTCCCTTCACACCTCCTTCGATGATGCCGCGTGGCAGTGATGGAGAGGCCAGCGGCGTCAGCGCTGCTGCGGTTCCTGCCATTACCGAGGAGGAGTTCGCCGCGGCCGTGGATAAACTCCGGGGCAAGAATGTCGCCCCGGGTCCGGATGGTATCCACGGCCGCGTCCTGGCCTTGGCCCTAAACACCCTAGGGGACCGACTCCGGCGCTTGTTCAACGCGTGTCTGGAGTCGGGACGGTTTCCCAATCAGTGGAAAGCGGGTTGAGTGGTCCTGCTCCGCAAAGCGGAGCACCCCGCAGGTTCGGTGGTTCCCTCGGCGTTCCGCCCCATAGTACTGTTGGACGAGATCGGCAAGCTCTTCGAGCGAATCTTGGCGGGCCGACTCGTCCAACACCTGTCTCAGGTAGGTCCCGATCTCAGCCCGAAGCAGTTCGGGTTCCGAGAGGGGCGCTCAACGATCGACGCGATCTCGCGTGTGCGCTCCCTCTCGGAAGAGGCGACGTCCCAGGGTGGGGTGTTGTTGGCGGTCTCTCTAGACATTAAGAACGCCTTCAACACCCTGCCCTTTGCGACTATTAGGGAGGCGCTGAAGTACCATCGCGCGCCTCCCTACATTCGGGACGTGATCGGGGCCTATCTCGAAGACAGGTCTGTGCTATGCACGGGGCGGAACGGCGTTGTAGTGCCGAGAGAAATGCAACGCGGTGTTCCACAGGGGTCGGTTCTGGGCCCGATCCTGTGGAACATCGGGTATGATTGGAACCTGCGGGGCGCCCTTTTAACGGGCACTGACCTCGTGTGTTACGCGGATGACACCTTGGTCACTGCCCGGGGGCGGGACCTACGGGAGGCTACCCGCTTTGCCACGGCATGCGTGGCGCTGGTCGTCGGTCGTATAAGAAGGCTTGGGCTCCAGGTGGCGCTGGAGAAGACCGAGGTCCTGTGTTTTCATGGGCCTCGGCGTGCGCCACCTCCGGATGCCCAGCTGGTCGTCAGTGGCCAGAGGGTGGGGGTCAAGCCCTGTATTCGATACTTGGGGCTTGACCTGGACAGTCGTTGGAGCTTCCGCGCTCACTTCCGGAACCTGGTCCCTCGCCTTATGGCAGCCGCCGGCGCTCTTAGCTGGCTGCTGCCAAATGTGAGGGGCCCGGGAGAAGGTTCCCGCCGCCTATACCTCGGCGTGGTGCGGTCCATGGCCCTGTACGGGGCCCCCATCTGGGTGGGGGCCCTAGGTAGGGAAAATGTGGCCTTTTTTTTTTTTTTTAACGTGTGGAAAATCTTCAAAAGACCGTCACCTCGCCGGAGGGATGGCGAGGTGGTGTGTGAGACTTGACTCACTAAAAACCACACGGTGTACCTACGAGCGCCTATGCCGGAGCCAGGGGATTCGCAAGTGCATTCTACCCCAGCTCCGACGGCGACGGCCCGCCCTGTAGATGTTGTAGGGCAGGCCCCATCTCGTTTTGTGGTTAGGGCGACCTATTTCGCCCTACTCCATTGTGGAGGCGTGTGGGTACACGCGCACACCTCCGGGGCCTTTGAATTGGGGGACTGCCTCAGGGAAAATGTGGCCTGCCTCAACAGGCCACACAGGGTCATGGCCATACGGGCCATAAGAGGCTACCGCACCATATCCGGGGAAGCGGCGGGTCTGCTGGCGGGGTCTCCTCCGTGGGACTTGGTAGCGGAGCTCCACGCGTCAGTGTATCACTGGCGCGCGGAGCGACGTTCCATGGGGGAGGCACCCGCTGGCCCGGAGATTGGAGCGCGGAGGTCCGACTTTCGGCGGATCCTCAGGATCAGGTGGAGAGAAAGGCTGGCCAGTCCATCGGCCGGCCTGAGGACCGTCGAGGCTGTCCGTCCCATCCTCAAAAGGTGGATGAGTAGGCGATGGCCACTGACGTACCGCATGACACAGATATTGTCCGGGCACGGTTGCTTCGGGCGGTATCTGTGTCATGGGGCGAGGAAGGAGCCGACGACCGGCTGCCACGAGTGCGGAGGTGTTGAGGACACGGCGCAACACACGCTGGAAATATGTCCAGCGTTTGAGAGTGAGCGCCGTGTCCTCACACGAATAGTGGGGGACGATCTCTCGCTGCCGAATTTAGTTCGGAGGATGATCAGTAGCGAGAGATCGTGGCTGGCGGTGAGCTCCTTCTGCGAGGAAGTTATCTCGCGGAAGGAGGCGGCGGAAAGGGAGCGGGAGTCAGATCGTCCCGCTTCCCTCCGCCGCAGAAGAGCCAGGCCTAGAGGTGGGGGCGTATCCAACTCCGCCCCCCTCTATCCCCCACTGGGGCCGGGGTGACTGCCTTGAGGGAGGCAGTCCCCCCAATCCAAAGGCCCCGGAGGTGTGCGCGTGTACCCACACGCCTCCACAATGGAGTAGGGCGAAATAGGTCGCCCTAACCACAAAACGAGATGGGGCCTGCCCTACAACATCTACAGGGCGGGCCGTCGCCGTCGGAGCTGGGGTAGAATGCACTTGCGAATCCCCTGGCTCCGGCATAGGCGCTCGTAGGTACACCGTGTGGTTTTTTAGTGGGTACAAGTCCCACACACCACCTCGCCATCCCTCCGGCGGGGTGACGGTCTTTTGAAGATTTTTCCACACGTTAAAAAAAAAAAAAAGGGTTCCACCATGACCGCAACACAGAGTTCGTTGGCCAGGTAGGTGGCAGCCGCTTCTGCGTATGTCATAGAACCCCTTCCCGTCGCACCAGCGGTTCTGGGTTTTTTACCTTCCCCGGTTGGTGTGACGGTGTCTTCTGGACGTGTACGCTTTTGCGGTCTTGCCTCGTTTTTTGGGTCGTTGGTCCTGGGTTTCTTACGGCCTCGCGGTTTCATGCTGCGCTTTTGTGTGCCAGCAGCCAGAACGGCCCTCGTCCCAGTTGCAGGTGCACTGGGTCCACTCGTTGACGCCTCCCCTTTAGGTTTGGTCGTCGCTGGGCAGGACCCGAGTTGATGCCTCGCAGCATCTACCGCTTCTGCGCGTTGTGCCGCTGCCTTGGCTCTGGCTTTCATGCGCCGCTTCTTGGAGGCCGATTTGGGTTTTATTAAGGTGTTCCCTGGTTGTTTCGGCTTTGATGGTGATTGGATCGCGTCTTTCAGTGACGTCAAGTCCATAGCCTGGTTGTCCGATTCGGTCCCTGATGCCGCTGAAACAGACATCTCCTCCGATTCCACCTTGAACAGTGCCGCCAGGTTCACCTCGGATGGCTCACTCGTTGACGCAGCCTTATTAGGCGCATCGTGGAGTGAACCCTTCTTTGGTTCCCCTGGTGCGGCGACTATCTTCGGCAGAGAAGTGGGAGCTGCCTTTCTTGGCGCATCTTTGGTCGACGCTGCTGGTACTTTACGGAACGCAGCCTGAGTTGGCGCATTCCGCTCAGTCACCTTTTTCGGCGTGTCCCCTGACGCTGCCTCTTCCAGCGCATCTTTGGATGATGTGGTTGGTACTCCACGGGACGCAGCCTTGGTTGGCGCATACCGATCGGTAGCCTTCCTCATCATCTCCTGCGACGCAGCCTTGCACGGCGCATCCTTGGATGACGTGGATGGTACGTCACTGGACGCAGCCTGGGGTAGCGCATCCTGTTCGGTACCCTTCCTCTTCGGTTCTTCGGACGCAGCCTTGCTCGGCGCATCTCCGGTAGAGTGTCCTGGTGCATCAAATGACGCGACCTTGATTGTTGGTCGTTTTGGCGCATCTTGCGACGCAGCCTTCGATGGTCGTTGCTTTGGCGCATTCGTAGACGCAGCCTGTTGCTTCTTGTTTTTTAGTTTTTTTGCCTCTAGATCCATGAGTTGGTTTTTTATATACTTCACCTCAGGAGCTCTCCACCCTCCACGGAGCCCTCACTTCGGGGACGTCATTCGTTCCACGAATGATCGCCAGAGCTACTCCCTTGGTATAGGTCCAGCAGGCTGAGAAGTGGACGAGTCCGCACGCAGCGAAGCACAGCGAGGACACCTACCTCACGAGACGATGAGGCAGGCTAGCCCCAAAGCACCGCGCCACGCCGACTGTCACCCCCCAGCTCGCCGAGCCTCGCTTGACTGCCCGCTTATGGGGAATCGCAGCCGGTTGATCGTGGTTAGCTACTCCACGACCGCCCGTTTGAGAGGAAATCCAGACCGAAGAGGTGTGTTGTGAGCAGCATACAACTACAGCCGGTACCCTGCTGCACTCAACCGCCAGGACTCCTTCATCCCTCCGTACGGGTCACCGCGCACGGCACAAACACGCGGGAGGTCATTACTATCCACCTTCAGTTTTTTGCTCGATGATGGACACGCAAGGACATGACCTCTTCATCCCTGCATTTGTCGCCCGGTAGTTTCGGTTACGTCTATTTCATAGGGAACTAGACCAATAACAGGGCGGCAACCTCGTGAAGGATATCTACCGAACTTGCCTTAAGGATCTACACGACTTGCGCTCTCCCTTAAGACCGCGCCTCCCTACCGCCTCTGAAGGAGGTGGTAGAGTAGGCCTGCGTCCATATCTCACTTTTTTAATGAGATATGACTGCAGGCCCGCCCCCAGTCTTTTGACAGGTATGCAAGTACTATATATTTATCTGTTCGCTCATAACTTCGAAACTTGAAGAGGGAAATATTAATTAGATTGATCTGATACAAGTGTACTCTATTATATCAACCTCCACGCGGTCACCCTGGTAATTATAGCAATTAAAGACATTAGTGACATAGTTCTTCTGTTAAAAAAAATAAATACCTACTCATTGTAATTTAATGAATGAGAATTGAATGTGGTATAGAGTATATAAGGTCAGCTATACCTTTATGAAACCTCAATAAACAAGTGTTATATGGTATCTAAATTACTGGCATTGATAGCTAAATATGAGGATCCTCGAATTTTTACAAATACTCATAAGAAACTTTACAAATACTCGAATTTTGCCTTTGTAGAAGGATATTTTCAACCTTACTAAATTGTACAAGGTTTTGAAACGATAATCATTCATAATACTATGATATATTACTGATCCTAATACCTACTATTCATGATAATTAGTTTTTTAATATCTCCATTCGAGGGTAGGTTATTCATAATTTATATTATTAGATTTCATCACAAATAAAAATATCGATTTAAAATCGAAGGTTGGTCCATATTTTTTTATTATATCGAAATGACAACGAGTTCTGGCAATATAAATGAAAGGTTAAAATTATAAAATATAGGAATAAAAGTGTTGTATAACAATAATTGTGTGTGTCTTTTATTGTCACCATCAATATAACTTTTTATCAAAAAAGTCAAATATGTAGGGTACTCAAATATAATCATTCCATGTAAGCAATAATACAAGCATTCATATTAAAAAACATGTTTCTAAAATATAAATGTGTTTTAATCCATAATATTGGCGACGAGTGATAAATTTATAGTGATAATAAATGTACAAACATGCAAGCAATTAAATTCCACGAGTACCGACCCGGGAATGAAGATTTTAGCCACTACATAGATAGGCTAAATTATTGTTTTGTGGCAAATGGAATTTGCGACGATAATGTGAAACTTGCTAATTTCTATACAATTTGTGGCTCTGAGGTGTTTGAAACGGTGCTAGCTTTGATAATACCAAGAAAATCACATGAAGTCAGTTTTAACTATGTGGTTGATTTATTGACAAAACATTATACACCTAAATCTAATGAAATCACCATGTCCTACAAATTTTACAACCGCAACCAAAGAGAAGGCGAAAAGGCGCTCGATTACTTAACAGAATTGAGGAAAATAGCTGCACATTGTAACTTTAGTAATTTGGAACGAAATCTTCGTGATCGTTTAGTATGTGGGATGCAAGATGAGAAATTGAAATTTGAGTTACTGAAACGAGACAACTTAACATACAAGGAAGTGGTGGATTGTCTTACAGCAGCAGAAACAGCACATCGTGACGTCACAATTGTTAAATAATAATACGGGAGTGTTTGAGCTCGTTTATTATACAACTGACCGTTACATGAAGTGTTGCTTACCCTAAACTTATTACTAACCTATCTACCTACATACTACCTCCACCCTTATTATATAACTTACTTAACTTAGATTACATTTACAATTAGATTCCTTTTTAAAAATTACATACTAAATAATCTCTAATCCCAACCATAACAGTCGGGAGGCCTGCGATTCCGTAGGGGATATCGCCGCCCGACTACATCCGCGCCCCTTGAGCCCTGTGTCGAATGCGGAGCCGATTGTTCCGTAGTCATAGTAGTGCTCTGTGAACGCGCGGGGTTTGAACCTGTTACCCACCCCGCCGTTGGTATCATCAAACTAGGATGTATTTTTTTTCCTAACATGTCCCTATTATTATCATCATCCGAAGGAATCCCGTTTAAATCACGTCTTCTTAGTTGATCTATATGCCTGTGTGTAGTTGTCCCATCGACTGCCGTTACGTAATATTCTGTATGACCCGTTTTATCCATTACCGTCCCTGCTAGCCATTTTATTTTCGTACCATATGATCTATACCAAACCGCATCTCCCACTTTAATCGCTCTCACTACTCCTCTCGATAATTTTTTTTGTTTTTCTTGTATTTTAGTAACACGTTTTTTCCGATCCGGCATTATGCAATCTAAACGCGTACGTATAGATCGCCCTAAAAGTAATTTAGCCGGACTATCTCCTGTCATATAATGCGGGGTATTCCTATATGTTAATAAAAATCTACTTAAGGCTGTTTCAACTTCGGTTTGATTAAGTAAAGCCTTTTTTATTACTTTTTTACATATTTTTACCGTATTTTCGGCTGCTCCATTTGATGATGGATGATAAGGTGCCGAAAATATTTGATCGATTCCATTTTTACTACAAAACTCTTTAAACTCAGAGCTAGAAAATGGAGGACCATTATCACTAACAATTTGCTTTGGTAGACCAAATCTTGCGAATACATCCCGTATTTTTTTTATTACAGATTTTGCATTAGTATTAACCATTTTCAAGCATTCTATCCACTTCGAGGTGGCATCAACTATAATTAAAAACTTCATCCCCGCTATAGGTCCTAAAAAGTCTAAATGAATTCTTGACCATGCACGTTCTGGCCATGACCACAAACATGGTGAATGTGCGGGTGGCATGTTGGCTACTGCCGCGCACACCGTACATAGCTGGCACTGTCTTTCAATTGCCTCGTCTATCCCCGGCCACCATACATAACTACGCGCTAAGCTTTTAGTTTTAACTATGCCCATATGCGTTTCATGAAGTTCCTGTAATACTCTATTTTGACAGGCTCGCGGGATGACCACGCGGTGTCCCCACATAACACAACCCATTTCTACATATAATTCTGATTTCCTATTTAGGTAAGGTTTTAATTCTTTGATTTCAACTTCACTGGGCCATCCATCTCTAATATACCTCAGTACACGACATAATAAGGGATCTTTTCCCGTTTCTTTTATCACTTGATCATTATTTAATAATAACGCTTCGCTAGCAAAGTGTAAATAAGTCTGCTCTAGTTGGTTATCTTCCTTCATATTACCGGTTTCTTTATGCCTAGCAATTAATCGTGATAACGCGTCCGCCGTGTTATTATTCGTTTCGATATATTCGATGTCAAAATCATATGCAGAGAGAATCATCGCCCAGCGCTGTAGACGACTGGCCGTCATACTGGGTATACCAAAATTAGGACCGAATATGCTCACAAGCGGTTTATGATCCGTTTTAAGGACAAATTTCCTTCCATACAAGTACTGGTGAAACTTCTTAACGGCAAAAATGATCGCTAACGCCTCTTTATGTATCTGGCTGTAATTACGTTCGGCCGCCGTGAGCGCTCGCGAGGCGTACGCGACCACCCGCTCGTGGCCGGCGCCGCGGCCGCCCGCGCCCGCACGCTGCGCCAGCACGGCGCCGAGGCCGTGCGCGCTCGCGTCACATGTCAACACGGTCTCCCGGTCCATGTCGAAATGATCTAAAACCTCTGCGCTACTCAGAAGCTGTTTAATCCTCGTAAACGCTCGATTCTGATGATATCCCCAAAACCATTTAGTGCCTTTTTGAAGTAATTCATATAAAGGTGCTAAGTGACTACTTAAATCTTTTATAAATTTACCATAAAAATTTATCATACCCAAAAATGATTTTAATTCCGTTACTTTCGTGGGGGGTGTCATGTTTATGATGGGTTCTAATTTTGAAGGATCAACTTTAATTCCATTTTTATTTATCACAAAACCTAAATACTTAACTTCCTCCACAAAAAAATTACATTTATCTTTTTTTATTTTTAAACCGTGATCGTTCAGTGCGCTTAAAACTTCTTTGATAGATTTAATATGATCCGTAACGTTTTTTGAAGCTATTAAAATGTCATCTAAGAAAATAGAAACCCCAGATATTTTTCCTAATAGATTATTCATGATTCTTTGGAAAATACCTGGACTCGAAGATAAGCCATACGCTAAACGTTTATATTTAAATAATCCTCGATGTGTGTTTATAACTGCTAAAGCCGTAGAATCACTTTCACTATTATCCTCGTGATCCTCGAGCAAAATTTGTGTGTACGCCTGTGCTAAGTCAATTTTTGTAAAATATTTACAGCCATTTAACTCCGTAAACAAATCCTCTATTTTTGGCACAGGATATTTATCAACCAACAAGACGCGATTAAGAGTGGTTTTGTAATCTGCGCACAGACGCAACGATCCGTCCGCTTTATGTACAATTACCAACGGCGTGGCCCAGTCGGCGTGCTCCACCGGCTCAATGACGCCGGTGCGCAGCATGGCGT